GCTAACTTTTGTCCTATTTATAAATCACAAGACCGTTCTTCTATACACAACTACAGACCTATTTCAACTTTGCAAAGATATTGAAGACTATATTATACAACTGTATTTATATTCATGAATCATAGATCAACTACCAGTAACCTATTAGTTTTTAGTCAATTCTTATGTGAAACATATTAGACAAAAAGGGACAAGCTTGATACGGGGTATACGGATTTTTCAAAAGCCTTTAACAGAATAAATCCCACAATTCTACTTGATAAGTTATATCATTTAGAAACTAATGATACTTATCTGACGCTTATTTAATCTTATTTACATCAAAGAAGGCAACATGTTATCTACAATGGCTTCAGCTCTAGCGGCGTCACTCAAGGATCCAATTCAGGACCTTTACTGTTTTAATTTTCATAAACGATCTGTGTGATTCTTTAAACTGCAATAGATTAATGTTTGCTGGTGACCTTAAATTGTATGCTTCTATCTCAAATCTGGACGATTGTGTTTGACTTCAAGAACAAATTAACAATTCATAAAACTGATGTTTTAGAAATTATCTCTTTTTTAATATATTCAAATGTAAAATAATAACTTTCTGTCAAAAATCCAATCCTATCCAATATCCTTATATCGATAACGTTACCTTGGAGAGATCCGAATATGTCAGATATCTTAGGGTGTACTTCGACAGTCAGTTAACCTTTAATTTTCACATTAACCAAATCATAAATTTCACTTACCATACATATGGCTTCATTGTTAGAAAATGTATAAATTTTACGAATTTATTGGCACTTTCATCTTTGTATCTCAGTCTGGATATATATAATATATACATTTTTTTTTTATTATTTAAAATTAAAGTGTCTCAACTGCCAGGGTAATTGACACAGGTACAAAATAATATATTATTATTAAATAAAAACAACAATTGATTATTTATTACTTATGAAGGATATTAATGTCTTTTAGGAATTTAATAATATTAATTATTTGGTCTTGAGAACTAAGAACTTCTTTCAGATTTGGCGGTAGGTTGTAGATTCTCCTGTGGTTCGCAAAGCCTGGGCAGTCTATGATGATGTGCTGGACGGTTAGGGGAAGCAAGCTCTGACAAATCGGTGAATCTTCGGTAGCCATTAAGTAACCGTGTGTTAGTCGAGTATGACTGATTCGAAGTCTTCGGATGGTTATTTTGTTCTTCCTTGAAAGATAAGGCATTTTAAACGGTTCGATGTTTGGTTGCATATCACGTAGTTTAGATGTTATTGTATTTCAGTGGGTTTGCCATGTTCTCCTAATATTATTTTTGAAAAGGTTTTGGATGTCTTTATGTAGCTGAATGTTTTCCATTGCTAACTTTGATAAAGAAGCCTCCTTAGCTGCACGGTCGGCTGCCTCGTTGCCTGGTATACCCACATGTGATGGTATCCAAATCACTGTTATGGATACTCCTTGCGCAATGAGAAGATGACAGGATTCATGTATTGTTTGGACCACTGAATTTTGTAAGGAACGATTTTTTAGTGACATGATTGATGCAAATGAGTCTGTGCAAATGGCCATTCTTCTCATGTTTATTTTAACAGATTTTACAGCTTGGTAGATACCGAACAGCTCGCCAGTGTGAACACTGACATAATGTGGGAGAAGATTTTTAGCGATGATATCTAGGCCAGAGATCACAGAGCATCCGACATAGTCTTTTATTTTAGAAGCATCTGTATATAGGATGGTATCAAATTGGGAAGAATTTATTAATTCTAGAGAAGCTTGTTTTAGAAAGTTACTTGGAGTTTCGTTTTTAGGGTCATGAGCTAGAGTGGTATTAAAAATTGGTAAAAAATTTTCCCATGGCGGCACAGAAGATATAGGAATTGGAGTTGTTCAGGATAAATCGATATCAGCTAGAAGTGGAGCAAGGATTTGTAATAAATGTTTGAACATTATTAGTGGAAACGTGGACGTTCGAATATACCGCGTTAATTAAGGAATATGCTGGGTTTTTGGGATTTGCTGAAACTCTTGCACAGTAGGTACGAAGGAGCTATTGTCGCCTCAGCTAGGGAGGTGGTTCGTTAGCTTCACAGCATAAACTTTTAGAAGGGCTGGATCTAAAAGCTCCAAGGCATATTCTTAATGCAGAATTTTGAACAGAATTCAGTGTTTTTAGAGCAGATTTAGTTGCCGACATATAGATGAAGCTTCCATAATCTATCTTGGATCTAATTAGTGCTCTGTACACCTTAAGTAAAACTTCTTTTCCTGATCCCCATTGATGGTGAGATAACGATTTCAGAATATTAAGTCTGTTTAGGCAGTTGTTTTTCAATTCGCAGAGGTGTTTCTTCCAGTTAAGTTTGCTGTTAGAAATCAGTCCTAAGATTTTGTGATGGTCGACTACTGCTAAAGGACTACTGTTTATGGAAATATTAGGATTTGATGTGCAGGATGATCGTCTGCTGAACTTTAATACTTTTGATTTTGTAAGGGAGAAGTAGAGGCCTGTTTTTGTAGACCACAAACTAAGCTGATTCACAGCTTCTTGGATTAGTGTAGAGATAGTTGTTACATTTTTGCCAGAACAGTAGACAATAAGGTCATCTGTATATAGAGAAAGTTTGACCGGAGGGTCAATGGAGTTGCATATGTCGTTAATAGCAAAAATAAAAAGAGTCGGGCTTAAAACCGAGCCTTGCGGTATACCATTTTCTTGAGAGAAGGTAAAAGATGTTTTTCCATTAGCAGTAATTTTAAACACACGGTTAGTAAGAAAATTTTTAATAAAACTGAATAAGTTTTCGGTAACGTTACACTTTTTAAGTTTTTCGAGAATTGTAGGTAACAGAAGGGTGTCACAGGCACTTTCTATATCAAAAATGCTGCTACGACATCCTGTTTTTTTGAGAAAGCACTGAATACAGTAGACTGTAGTATTGATAGGTTATCTAAGGTGCTGCGCTGGGGTCTGAAACCAGATTGGGCAGGTGTCAGGATTAGATATTTCTCCAGGTACCAAAGAAGTCTTCTGTTTATCATTTTTTCTACTAGTTTGCACATCGCGCAGGTCAAATAAATAGGCCTGTATGAGTTTGGATCATCGGGTGGTTTTCCCTGTTTTTTAATTGGAAGTATTACAGCTTCTCGCCAGAGCTTGGGAAAAGATTTCTTGGTCCATATCTTATTATATAATTGTAGAAGTTTGGTGAGTCCTGAGGATGGCAAATTCTTAAGAAAAACAAATGGAATATTGTCGGGTCCGGCAGCTGAATTTTTGCATGTGGAGAGAGCATCAAGAAGTTCGTATAAATTAAAAGGGAGATTTAAAGATTTGGAGTCTGCATCAGATGTCGGAAGGGCAGATGTAACTAAACTAATTGAGGTAGAAGGTATGTTTCCTTGTTTGTTTTTGCATTTTTTGTGGAAGTTTTGAGCAATTATGTTAAATATTGCTTGGCTGTCAGTTGCTACGTTACCGTTACATAGTAATCCTGGAATGTTCATTTCAGATCTATTTCCCTGCATACGTCTGATTTTATTCCATACTTCACTAGGAGGGGTATCAGATGTAATTGAGGACACATAGTTATTCCACGATTCTTTTTTGCACTGCTTTAGAATAAGTTTCGCACTGGCTTTGAGTTTTTTAAAGTTGATGAGCTTTTTTTGAATTCTAGCTCTACGGTATATATTTAATGCTGTTTTGCATTCCTGAACAGCTGTAGCACATTTGACATTCCACCAAGGAACTGATTTTTGGTTACTAGAGATTGCAGATTTTCCTATGATTATTTCAGCAGCAGCAGTCAAACAGTTTTTGAAATCAGAAACAGCTTCATCAACATTTTCGGAAAGTTGGTATTGAGTTATATGGTTGTCAATGTGTGATCTGAATCTTAAAATGGATGAAATAATAATAAGAAAGTGGTTGCTGTCGTAGAGGCACTCTGATGTCTCCCAGAAAAGGGAGGAGATTTAGATCAATTGATGAGAAGTTCCCAGTAGATATATTAAAATGAGTGGTGGAACCGGTGTTAAGAAGACATACACTAGTGTTGTTTAAAATGTTTGCAACAGTTTTTCCTCTGCCAAAAGTCTTCTCGGAACCCCACATTGTGTTATGGGCATTAAAATCGCCGACTAGTATAAAAGGGGGAGGCAATTGATTTATAAGATTGGTTAGTTCAGTTTCAGATAATGAATAAGTAGGAGAAATATAGATATTGCAAAGAGTGACTTTTTCTGGAAGCCAAACTTTAACAGCTACTGCTTCGATATTAGTGGTTAGAGGTAAGTATTTAGAGTACAGATTATTAGAAATAAATATGAAAGTTCCCCCACTTGCAATTAAACCAGAAGTTCTGATGAAATGATAACCTTCGAATCCTTTGAGTTTACGTTTGTGGGATTCCTTAAAATTGGTTTCTTGTAGACAAAAAATATCTAAGTTAGTGTCAGAAATTAACTATTGGATTCTTTCCAGACGTGGATAGAATCCATCGCAATTCTACTGGATTAGTTTGAAGATGAAAAATATAGGTTTTTTTTTGTAGAGATAACTAATGGCTTTTGAGAATGTTGTGAACAGTCTGAGACATCTTCGTTATCCTGCTCGACAGAAGTCAGTGGAGATAAGCTGGCGATACTTCCAGTTTCCATTTCCTCTTCCTCCAGTCTATGCTTGATTTTTTTTTGTTAATCTTGAGAATCTGTTTTTTACTGACCGATCTTGTATTTCAGGATATATTAGGTGCATGTCTTTGAGTAGAGATCTAACATTTGAGGTAAATTGCAAAGCTTCAGAATAGGGGATTTTTCTGATAATATTCTTGTATTGCGGCCCTGGTGGCATCAGAAAGTTTAGCATCTTTTGAAGATTCTTTTTTAGCCTTCTTTAGTGTGGGTTTCGTAACAGATTTTTGGGTTTCTGGGATATTTTTTGGGAGGGGAGTTTGTGGTGGGAGCATTAGATGGGGGTCTACGGGGGAGAGAAGATCTATTTAAGGGGTTTCAGGAGGGCTATTTTGGTCACTAGAGCTAGGATGAATTCTCTTTTGGCCAGTGCGGAGACTATCATTTAAATTTTGCAGAGTTTCTGGGGAAGAGCTAAAATCTGTAGGAGAGGAAGTACTTTGTTCCGCAGAAGTATTGGCATGGGCAGTAATTTTAGATTCCATAGGAGTATCAGCATGAGCGCTAATTTCAGATTCCACAGGATTATCAGCATGAGCGGTAGTTTCAGATTCCTCAGGATCCACAGGTGTTGAGTTAGGACAGTTACTTGCAATGTGATTAGCGTGTTTACAAATAAAACATTGCATTTTATCAGTAGAAATGAAGATTCTATAATTATTGCCTTCGTGAGGGATAATAACAGAAGTTTGGATATCAATATTTTCTACTGTTGGAGTAATATACGCCTGATGTCTGTAACTTAAAATATGATTGTACTCTTCATCCGGGATTCCAGCTCTTAAAAGAGAAACTGGAGATGTGTTACGATCTGATTTCGCCCTAATGTTGTTAGCAACTAGTTTTGTTTATTCGACACCCCTCGTATATGCTAGTTTTGTTTTTAGTGACCTTCATTATGTTTGTATCTGAAATATGACCTACATACCCTATATTGGTGAGTGTTATTCTGCAAATTTAAATCAATAGTTCCCAATTTTTAAACGTACAGCTGTTGATAGGTTTCTGATCATTGTTGGCAACTTTTGTAGGCAAAGAATTACATTATTGACGTATTTAGAATATTTTGGCGGTATCTTTCTGTGTCTTAATGTAGTTAAATATATATTTATGGTAGTACATACCTTGTGAGAGTGACTGAGGGTGAATGTTGGTCATTTGAAACTGTTTTTCTTCCCTATAGTGCTTAGGTGGATTTTCAGTTTTCAGCTTACGGCTGTCTGTAGGTTTCTTCGGGGCCTATGGTGGTGACTTGAGCGTTTCTGAGTGTGTTTATTATGTTAAAACTTACTGTATTGTTATGGCTATGTGGTAGTGTCACTTGTGACCTATTACTTAGTCCAGATGTGAAACTTACCAGGTTTTAACCTAGGTTTCTTGATGTTTGAGGAGGTTACCTGTGAGCTGGCTTGATACATTTAAATACCCCATTTTTTTGCTATCAATGTACACCTCAGTACCCATCAGCGGGTAGAGTTTCAATATTATTTTCTTTTTAGTTAGTTTTTTCTACAATGTAAATGATTCCAGTTCGACAGAAGGTTATAAACTATTCAGTTTTTGATAGTCATGGAAATAGAAGCCATGCGAATACATCTAGAGTGACCCGAGGCTCTTGTGTTAATTAGATCCAATCTCGTCAATAGTTGGATCGACGTGCCTATTTTTGTTTTCTTTTTTTCATCTGTAAGGCGTCGCCAACGCTTTATAGTTTCAGTTTGGTGAGAACTATATGCTCATCGAGGTCTTAGAATCTCTGGACTAGTCCTAAAATGTAATTATATAATGTATAATCTTGTAAAACTATTTTTTTATTGTTAATGACATTTGTCATACATTTATTTACCTTGTCGTTGAGTTGACGGACCAAATCGCTTCGCTAATTTATTTGCCTCGTTTATTGTAGTGTTCTGGGATATTATATTCAAAGTATTAAGTATTTTCCTTGTTAAAAAAGATAATGTTATTATATTCTCGGCTATTATTTTGACGTTTATCAAACACTGACATTCGGCAGTTTCTGTCAATGTTTAATGTCATTGTCAAAGGACGTTGACATTTGTGTTATTCAGTTGCTTCTTCTTTTATCTTTTCTGGACTCTTGTTGAGGTAGGCATGTTATTCCGGAGGTTCGATGATGACGTACTTGCGCAGATTAGCGAATTATCAGTTTCCGGACTTGACGGTGAAGCCATTTTTGTCATGCGTGAATTCTGACCCAGCAAGCACGCAAAAGTTTTTCTGTGTAGTGAACCGGCTTTTCGACTTTTGAATAAGTTTTTTAGGTTTTAGAAAATCCAGGGATGTTGTAACTCCCAACCCAGTAAATGGGGATTATTTTTCTTTAACCTACATTTGTGGATGACCGTCGTATGGTTATTTGGATTGGCGCCCAAACGTGATTTTTTTTTGTGTAGCATTGACGCCCAAACGTGATTTTTTTTTGTGTAACATTGATGCCCAACGTGATTTTTTTTTGTGTAACATTGATGCCCAAACGTGATTTTTTTTTTGTGTAACATTGATGCCCAACGTGATTTTTTTTTGTGTAACATTGATGCCCAACAATAGATTTTTATTTTGGTAACTTTGGAGTCCAACTTGATTTTTCCTTTTAGCCAAGATATTTTTCACCCAGTTGTGCATTATAACATCTGACATTTAAGGTTGATTTTTTTTCCCTCATTGTTACAACTGACCCCAGCGCGTTAAGACGTAGTATTTTGATTTCAGACCCTATATTAGGACAATTTTGTTGATTATAGTTAGATCACAAGTTGTTGTTGTATTTGATTGTAGTGGGACTCTGCTATTTTCACTGTGTTATCGATTGATGTGCACCTTCGTCCATTGCGTATGACCAAGGCTTGATTATAGTGGTACCTTGATATTTAGTGTCGTTATTTTTGTTGTTTATTGGGACCAAATTTGAGTAATTTTGTCAAAATGGGTAAGATGGTAATCAATAGGTTAAGGAAAGATGAATTGGAGTACGAACTTAAGGTTCGTGGGATTAAAATTGGTACTGTTGAGGAAATGAGATCTTCATTAGCAGCTACATTGAGGTTATAAAAGGACAATGAGAGTTTTTCGTATCCAGCATATCCATTCACTTTTAAGCAAGATGAAACGGCTATTTTAGCTAAGTGCAAGGAATTAGAGACAGCTGTGTCAAAACTAGTAGGTAAACCTGGAGCTGCCGAAGAAAGCGAATTGCAGACTAGGATTACTCATGTCCTAGGTAGAATAGATAGGATGGTTACAGGTGATGATGAAGATTCCAAGACGATTAAATCTGAATTATTTTCCCAAATTTTGACCATTTCAGATTCTTTGTATGAGAAATTAAACCCATCAACTACAGATCCTATACCTCCAGCATTAAATGTAATTAGTGGTTTTAACCAGTCTTTTCAAACTGATATAAATCAGGCTCATAGTTCATCTCCACAGCGTGGTAACTCGAGTACTAATATTCCTCCAAATTTGAATTTTCCTTTTTCAAAGATGATTCCGCCTCATAAATGGGGAATTGAAAAATTTTCGGGTTCAATAAGGTCTATGTCTGTTTCTGCTTTTTTTGAGATGGTAGATGAATTGAGGATAGCTCGCCATGTTCCCACAGATGTTTTGTTAGAATCTGGGGTAGATTTGTTTGCAGATAAGGCATACCAATTTTATAAAGATGTTAGACTTAGAGCTAGTAGTTGGGAAGAACTTGATGAGTTTAGAAACGAATATTTACCAGTCCATCATAATGAAGCTTTATTTGAGGAGCTTAGGAGGCGTACTCAACATCCTTCTGAGACCATTGGTGTTTACTTGGCAGTAATGTCATGTTATTTCAAACGGTTGAGATGTCCAGTGACAGAGGAGACAAAAGTGGCCATTATTATGAAAAATCTTCATCCATTTTATCAAGATCGATTACGTGATCCTTTGCCTAGTACATTAGAGGAACTTAGACATGTTTGTAGAAGAATGGAGATAAGAAGAGATGCAATCCAGAATTATGTAGAACCATCGAGTAGGAGAGTTGGTATCTTAGAAAGGGATCTTGCTTATATAGATGTTAATGATAGAGTAGGTAATGTCGAAGTCGCAGCTACTACTTCAGCTGGACCTTCATCTTTTGGACCCGGTGTTTGTTATAGGTGTAATCAGCCCGGCCATAGAGCGATTGGTTGTCTTTTACCAAAAAAATTGTATTGCTTCAAATGTAAGAAGGAAGGTTTTACTGTTAGGAACTGTCCCAATTGTAATAAAGTTAATCAGACACAGGGAAACGGGGAAAGGCGCGCTCTTTAGGTCGTAGCAGCGTTGCCTCATCCATAGAACATACGACCAGTTTTAAACCAGTTTTAGACTATATTTTAAATCATGTACAAGGTGATGAAAGACCTTATTTGAGAGTAAACATTTTAGGTACGGAAGTTTTAGGTTTATTAGATTCAGGTGCTTCGAGAACCATTGTTGGTAGTCCTGGGTATAAACTTTTGCAAGATTTAGGTTTGAAACTTAGTAATAATAATAAATCGGAATGTCGTGTTGCGAATGGTCAGACATGTGAAGTTTTAGGAGAAATGTCAGTACCGTTTTTGGTAAGGGGGAACTTAAGAGTTTTGTCAGTATTAGTTGCAGTGAGTTTGCCACATACGTTAATTTTAGGTGCAGATTTTTGGCGTGTCATGGGTATAGTACCAGACCTGAGGCACGATGCATGGCAATTCTCAAAGTCTCCAGTAACCATTGGTAGTGTAGATCATATTCGTAGTCAAACTGTTCTGACAAGCCTCCAGCAAAATCGTTTAGGTGCTCTTGTAGATAGGAATAGGGAATTATCAGGCTCAATCCTAGGTTGTACTAATGTAGCAGAACATAAAATTGTTTGTAATGCAGCTCCCATCAAACAGAGATAATATCCAGTATCACCAGTCATTCAGGGTTATATTGATAAGGAATTGGACGAGATGTTGGCTCAGGGAATCATTGAGAAAAGTAATAGTCCATGGTCTTCACCAATCCTTATGGTAAAAAAGAAGGATAGTACTTATCGTCTGTGTGTCGACTACAGGAAGCTGAACGCGGTCACTGAGAGGGATAGTTATCCATTACCGTACATTTCTAACATCTTAGACAAACTAAAGAATGCACATTATTTGTCAACTTTGGACATTAAGTCAGCCTACTGGCAAGTACCTGTAGCGGAAGCTTCACGTCATTTTACTGCTTTCACAATTCCTGGTAGAGGTTTGTACCAATTTAGAAGAATGCCATTTGGGTTGCACAATGCTCCAGCAACGTGGCAACGTTTAATTGACCAAGTCTTAGGTCCTGATCTTGATCCACATGTTTTTACCTATTTGGATGATGTTGTTGTGATTGCTGAAAGTTTTGAACAACATTTGTTTATCCTTGAAGAGGTTTTTAAGAGGCTTCGTGAAGCTAATTTGACAGTGAATTGGGAGAAATGTCAATTTTGTCGCCCAGAATTAAAATATTTAGGACATGTTGTGGATAGGAATGGGTTACACGTAGATTTGGATAAGGTTAAGGCAATGTTGGACCTTCCAAGTCCAAAATCTGTTAAAGATGTACGCGGTGCGTTAGGGACTTTTTCATGGTACCGTCGTTTTATCCCGGATTTTTCCACACTAATTTCTCCAATGACGAGTTTATTAAAAAAGGGTAGACGTTTTGAATGGACGACTGCTTGTGAAACTTCATTTCAAAAGATAAAGGAGTATTTGGTATCTGCTCCTGTGCTAAATTGCCCGGATTACAATTTTCCTTTTGTTATTCAATGTGATAGTTCTGGTTTTGGTTTAGGTGCTGTTTTAGTTCAACCGCATCCGGATGGTGACAGGGTTGTGTGTTATTTGAGTAGGTCACTTACCCGTCAAGAGAGGAATTATTCTACTACAGAACGTGAGTGTTTAGCAGTTCTGTGGTCGATTGAAAAATTGAGACCCTATTTGGAAGCCATTCCGTTTACAGTTATAACAGATCATGCTAGCCTAGTGTGGCTACAGAATCTTAAGGATCCAACCGGAAGATTAGCACGTTGGTCAGTGAAATTGCAACAGTACGATTTCAAAATTATACATAGGAAAGGCAAGGATCATGTTGTTCCCGATACCTTGTCTAGGTCTGTTCCAATTATTGACTCCATCAATTCTGTTGTTAAAGATAAATGGTATATAAGATTGAGAGATTGTGTGGTCAAGAAACCGTTGAAATATCCCCATTGGAGAGTGATTGATAACAAGTTATTTAAGTATGTTCGTTCTAGTTTAATCTTTCCCACCGACGATTGTGATAATTGGAAGGAAGTTGTACCTAAGGATCGTCGAAAAGCTATTTTGACCGAGTTACATGATGCACCATTGGCTGGACACATTGGCTGGACACATGGGAATTTTAAAGACGTTCAAGAGAGTTTGTGAGAAATATTATTGGCCTAAATTAAAGTCTGATGTGGTTAGGTATGTTGGTAGTTGTCAGGTTTGCGCAGCACATAAGGTGGATCAAGGTGGTCCGAAGGGACTAATGACAGCGCAACCACGACCTACAAGGCCTTGGGAGATTATCTCCACAGACTTAATGGGACCTTTGCCAAGATCAAATAAGGGTCATAGATTTATTCTTGCAGTTACAGATCTTTTTAGTAAATTTTCACTCACTTTTCCTCTTCGTTCGTCTAAAGCGCCTTTTGTCGTGAAAGCAATTGAATATGTTTTTCTTATTTTTGGTGTCCCGCGCCTGCTGTTATGTGACAACGGTGTTCAGTTTACTTCCAAAATATTTGGTAATTTGATGGATAATTATGGAGTTGAGGTTAGATATAACGCCCTTTACCACCCGCAAGCTAACCCCACTGAACGTTTTAATCGTACCCTCAAAACCATGTTAGCTGCCTACGTTTCGGAAAATCATAGACATTGGGACATTAATCTAGCAAAGATCACTTGCGCTACGCGAACAGCTTTTCACGAATCGACTCATCAAAATCCGTACTTTGTTAATTTTGGTAGAAACATGATTTTGAATGGTAAGGATTTCGCTAGGAAGGAAAATTTAAGAGAACTTGATGACCCTAAAGTAGATTTGCCTAATGTGGTTACTAAAGACTTAAGAGATTTATTTGTTGAGGTTCGGAAGAGGTTGGATAAAGCTTCTGCTAAAGGTGAAAAAACTTACAACCTGCGGAGACGCCGTGAAGAATTCTTGCCTCATCAGGCGGTTTGGAGACGTAATTTTGCTCTTTCGGATGCTTCCAAGTATTTTACCAGCAAGTTACCTCCTAAATGGTTAGGCCCTTTTTATGTTAGGAAGAAAATCAATCCTTGGATGTACGTGTTGGAGGATGACAATGGAACTGATCGTGGAACATGGAGTATCAAAGATCTAAAGGTGGCAGCTGCGACAGATGAGTTGCTTAGCAGCTAGCGCTGCGGAAAATTTCTTGCTAAATTTTCTCTGGATGGGGGAGTGATGTTACGATCTGATTTCGCCCTAATGTTGTTAGCAACTAGTTTTGTTTATTCGACACCCCTCGTATATGCTAGTTTTGTTTTTAGTGACCTTCATTATGTTTGTATCTGAAATATGACCTACATACCCTATATTGGTGAGTGTTATTCTGCAAATTTAAATCAATAGTTCCCAATTTTTAAACGTACAGCTGTTGATAGGTTTCTGATCATTGTTGGCAACTTTTGTAGGCAAAGAATTACATTATTGACGTATTTAGAATATTTTGGCGGTATCTTTCTGTGTCTTAATGTAGTTAAATATATATTTATGGTAGTACATACCTTGTGAGAGTGACTGAGGGTGAATGTTGGTCAT